ACTCTTGGAAGCAGCACAGGGAAGAAGAAGTCTAAAGAAGTACCGCAGGGACCTTCTCGACTATCGTGTTCCTCTGAACTACCAAACGAAGACGGGACTCGCACATTTTCCTAACAAGAGATGGAATCGATCACGATGAGATTCTTCTCCCCCCTCTCCTTCCCCCTCTCCCTCTAACGATAACACCGGACGTGTCTGGTTCTCCTCAGAGCAATGTCGGGAATGAAAGTAGAAAATCTGAGATCCTGCCTCTGCCACTTGTGCAGAAAAGCTCCATTCTTGCGGTTTTTGACAATTCCACTGTAATTGAAGTTGATATTCGTGCTCAGCGTACCAAATTTATTTAGAAAAGGTGGAAAACTCGAAGTCGGATATTTACGCGGAACTGCCTTTAAGGGAAGCCACAGACAAACAGACAGACTCACAGCTCTGAGCTCGCCTTTTCAATTCGACCAATCTTTCATTGCTTCGTTATGCAGCATAGGTGATGGTCTGACCTGTGGCCACGTCAAAGATGTCCAAACAACCCGAGCGCTGTGATGACGTCTTCTAAGTCAACCAACGCATTCAACTTCCGTCGGACTTTTCAATTCCGATATAAGATCTAAATTCCGTCTTCGCAATCTTCAAATAAACAAGACATTGATAGGCTAGTAAATAATGAGGACAGATGGACTCCAATAACTGTGGTTTAAGAGAATGCCTGGAAAAGAGACCACTGAGAAGGAGGATGAAGCATTCGCATGATGGACCAGTTGAAATCTCAGCTGGTAATAGTTAATACATTTAGACCTCACAACCGCCGCACCCACATTGTGGATGACGCTAGCGAAAAATAGAAAAAGATCGAGACAATGCTGTCGTCTGCAAATTGAGTGAAGAAAGGCCAATTAAGTTCCAATTTACAAATAACACCTACTTATCACGTACGGTACCCTATCGCCTAGTCGAGGTGCTGATCCTGCATCGCGTTTTTTCATTCGAGCTGCCAGCTCAACGTGAGCTTGTTTGGCTTGATATTTCTAAAAACGGTAGCTTCAAAAATTTAAAGGACAAGCAAAAAATTCAGTTAACATAAAACTGTAAGACGAGTAGTAATCGTACCTCACTAGATCTTGTCAGCTCTTTACTGATAATCAACAAAGAAATATCGATTTTATTGCACAGGAGATCTGAGATGACTCTCTTGGCAAATTCAAGCGCAGAGTTGGCGTCACGATCAATCATCAGCTTTTCCAAGCAAGTGCTCAATACCTTTGCAACTAGCGGGCAGTTATCACGTCGGACAGTTTCTAATCCCTTAAAAAATTATGGGAGCTAAAGGCCAGAAACGTACGAAGCGAAAACCACTAACTTTGCAATCCATCTTATCATGTATGTCCGGTTTGGTGAAGTACAGGCCTGCGTATCTCTTCTTATTAATGAGCAAATATGGGAAGTAAACCTGCAGAAGAATTCTTGTGACTGTAGATTCTACGCGACAACATGAATTGCGCTTAATTCAAACGCTGACCAACTTTTTCGAATTCCAGCTTGATGGGAGGCGTGAAGATTTTGCTTACTTCGGTAGCAGCATGGAGGCCAATTTCCATAGCTTCAGCCACAGTTTTCACACCAAACTTCACCATCACAGAATCAGTATCTCCATAAACTACCTATGAATGAGCCGTTCCAAAATTCCACAGATTTTTTTTCCATGAACTAGGGTGAGTGGAAAAATTCAAAGCAAACCTGGGCATTAATGGGACATTTCCCATCCAACGCCCCAGCCACATATCGTTTCTCCACTTCGTTTTTGGTCAAGTCGATCATCTGCCTTCCAAAAGCTGTAACTGACTGCGAAATCTCCAGACAAGGCAATTTTCCAACAGTAGCACCGGTAAATCCGTAAACTGAATTGGCAGATACCTGCAAATAGCAGAGAGGTATGGCTATCCACTCGAAGACGTAGGTATAAACAAAAGAAAGGATATGAAATCAACCTTCAATGCCAATTGTCGACCATTGAGCACCATCTTTCTAAATTCATCCTTCTCATGTTTCATTTCGTTCTTAGCTCGTTTCCTCAAAAAAAAAAA